CACCTTCCTCAGCAAACTCCATTCACAGTTAATCTAGACGGCAGGAAGGGGGTGAGGGTGGGGGTGGGGCAGGAAAGCTCACCCACCCTGTGGGGCCAGAATATACACAGACAGCAAGCAAGTTCTAATATTTTTATTTTCAAACTCTGGCAGATTTGCCTCACTTCATTTTATAAACCAGTGATCCAAGAAGAGCAGAAAACTCAGGGCCTGGCATTTACATACAGAAGTGTGCAATTACAGTCTTTGCAGTAAACTCAGAACAGAGTCGACAGCATTCAAAATGTTGGCCCTAAGCCATTAAAGCTCAGCTAGACAGGCTTGAGGCCCACGTTATAATCACAGTAGTCAGACTGAGGCCGAAGGATTACCAGTGTGAAGCTAGCCTGGGCAACATAGCTAGTACTTAAAAAGACAGAAACAGTGAAAGTTAAAGTAAGCACAACACATCCTATTTTAACAAAGTAACAACCCAAAACCATCACACCAGTTATTTCAAAACACAACCTTCATGAACTGGGAAAAAGTCACCAATTCAAAACGACCCATGGTGCCTGCCCAGGCTATAATGAAGAAAGGAACTTAAAAGTCAAAGAGCCCTCCATGTTAGGAAGACTATTATAGTCAGTACCATTTATCACTAATAGAAGAACATCTCAGCTCTAATATTTAACAGCACATTTTCCATACTCAAATACTCAAAGCAGGCAGCATAAACTTCCTACTACAAGCATGTGTGGGACACTTTTCCTTTCCTCTAAGTAACACACACACTACCATTTCATGAGTCAAAATGTCTCTCAACAGTTTTAAACACCAATTCTGATTTAGAAGCCATGGAAGACATAACAGATCTAGGACATTTGTCTTCACACCTTACCAAGTGTAAGACTATCACCAAAGCACCGAGGAAAACGATTCAGAGAAAGGAAAGTCAACTTGGGCCTAAAACAAACTAAAATCCACTTGGGTTCCACTCTGGGCATCATACACAGTCAAATAAAACAACCAGAGATTCATTCAACAGAGAGATGTTGCTGACTGCCTTATTATCAAGTCACACAGACACACAAGCAGTACTTCTTCAGCTCCTTAGCTTGAAAGTCCCTCTGGACTTCAACAGAGAAAAAACAGTGTTTATGGCAGGAGAAAGAAAACGAGAAAGGAATTGTAAGCAAGGAAGGAATCCACATTTCATCTCAGGATACTTTCCCCATAGTGACAGTTTTGTTTTCTGGATCCTATTCTGGCATGGGTCCTCCTCACACATCATTTTATGTTAACTTAGGAAACGATCAAAGTTCACACTGAAAGGAAATTTATTTTAGTTATTTCCTGCCCACTAGAGGGCTCCAGAAATATTTCTTTCATGACTAGAAGAAATAAACCAAGCATTACAATTTAAGTATTTTATGAAGCATATGAAATGTACTGAAAAAAAAAATTGCCACCAGACCTTTTGCCCCCAGACTACAGACTGTTGATCAGTACCTGCTTCATCAACCTACCAAGCAGAGCACCAGCTGCTTTAGAGAACAGCGCACCTCACTGTCCTCAGACAGCTTCGCTGCACATAGTCTCTATCTTCCTGCTTTTGAGACTGGGTCTCACTGTACAGTTCTGGCTAGCCTAAAACTTATTTGCATACCAAGCTGGCCTTGAACTCACAGGATCTTCCTGCCTCTGCTTCCAGAGCACTAGGATTAAAGATGTCCACCACTACACCCGGCTCACAGGTAGTTGACAGATAGGTTTTTGATGTAATGAATGTCCTAAAGCCATAAAGTGCAATTCGAGTCCAAAGTCCTAAGTTGTCTCCCAAACGAAGAAACACTTTTATGAACATAGTCAACGTGCTGAGACCATTCCCAATTCAGAGTGAGATCATCATTCTCATCACCTTCTCCACCTGTCTCCCTCACAGGTCATCCACAAGTCACTACACAGACATAATGACTACAGTCCAAGGAAGACCACAAATTGTGAACTCAGTTTTAAAAAACGTAAAGGAAACTGTTTAAATATGATGTATTATAATGAAATTTTGCTCCAATATTTTCAGATTTTTTCCACACACAGGTTGCTACACTGATATACTAGTAAATGTATTTCCAACTCAATCACTATTAACAAAGAAGAAAAATCAGCATCTCCTGTAAATACACTTATGTTTCTAGAACACGTGTGTGCGTGTGTATACTGCAGAATGGTGAAAAGGCTTCTTGCAAATTATTGTATTGAAGGTGCAACAAATGCATTAATCACAGATACACTTTATCCTTCTAAATTTGGATAAAGAAGTTTTTTACAGCAAAACAAAAACTTACTTAATGTTTAAAAGTAAATCTTAGAAAACCCTACTCACAAAATTAAAACTAGTGTTAAAAGAGCGGTCACAAAATGAGCCACAATCATAGCCATAGGAAGACTTTATCCAAATGTCAATTGAGTTAGCAATTATCATCCGTCTGGAAGGAATTACTGCAAATGAAACAGGGCAGGGGTTCTAACATCAGAGCCCCACCCCACCCCACCTCCTGGGCAGGATGTTTCCAGGGCTGACAAGCACCATTAAGACTTAAAGGAGCAGAAGAACATTTGTTTCTAAATAGCACAGGGGAGAGCTGTCAACACTTGAAAGGTTCATATTATGACACCTAACAGAAAGGCAATTCTGCACTTGCAAGTCCAGGCCTTTGACAGTTCACATCCTAATCAATTTAGAGTCAGGCTGCAAGGAAATGTTACTTGGTGGAAACATCTGTGCTCCTGAAGAGATGGCTTTCAAAAGCATAAAGTGGTAAACAATTCTCGCTACAAGTCACCAATGCAAACTCAAATTGTCAGTTTTTGGTATGAGGAGTTTAGCTATGAACAACTTCTAAGAAGGCAGCACTTAACATTATATATACATATGTATATATATGTGTGTTGAGAATTCTACACGCTTATCAAACAAAAATCCTTCTGACAGAAAACTAAAATTTAAGTAATAGAAACATGGTTGTTTAAAGGATTTTCTCAAGCAATCATATCGTCCAGTAAGGTGAATACGAGACACAAATCCCACTTAGAACTTGGAAGTCTGCACAGGCTACCTCTGAGGAGCATCACAAGACATTCTATGTTTATTACATAATATTGCTTTGCCCTTGCATATCACCTTTAATCAGGGATCTCAAAGCACCACTGAGTCATCAAGGCCTTAACACACAATTTCAGACAGACAAGTAGTTACAGTTTGTAATTGCAGCTATTAATAAAACCTTGCCCCTACTTCATTCAGTCCCCCAATCCCAATTCCAACCTTCGGAGATGGCATTCCCCAAATCACCTCAATGCGTGGCTAATGCTGTACATTTTACTTTTTCTTTATCACTGGGCCCAAAGAAAGTAGTGGCACGGCTTTAACTACACACATCTATTTCATTACAACTTCTCTGACAGAATAGATGGCACTCAGGTGGGTGTAGCCTTCACTGTGCTGATGATATAAAATGGAGGCTTTACAAAGAGCAAATCTTTGCTGGAGGCTATGAGGCCACAGATCACTCATCAAACGGAGGAAGAAGCATTTGCAGTTCTGTGTAGAGACCTCTCCAGGCAACTTCAAGAATAGTGTAAAGGGAACCTTGGCAGCCACTCAGGCAGGCAGGAGACCGTTCCCCCAGAACACATCAAGAAGGAAGAACAGTTAAAAGGACAGAGTTTAAAGACTCCGGAAGCAAAGGCAGAGAGTGGTGTGGCCACCCGGGAGGCGGACCCAGTGGTTCCTTTGCATTTGAATAGCATATTAAGTGGAAAATCAAACAAACAAAATATCTTTAAACTAAGGTCAAAATACACAATTTAGAGTAATTTTTCTTTTTAAAATAGTTAAAACAGGCCATCCCTCCATAGAAATATTTGACATTTAAAAAATGCAACCACTAGCAAAGTTCAATTTTGGTTTTGCACTGTAATACACACACCCATTCAAATGTCAACTTGACATAAGTGAGCATGATTACATTAACTTTGATTGTTTCAGAAACAGGATTATTCATCTCCCTGTTACCTGCATTATGTCTGCCCTCAGGACTGCAAAGTGCAGTCCTACACGCCTACAAACCCACCCCTCAGCACTGTAAGGCTACACAGTAACTGTCAGTCAACACACTCACAACCCTAACATTTAGAAACCAAAGGAAAAAGCCTCAATAAACAAGAGCACTTTTTGTTTCCAGTTCTCAACGCCCAGTGATCCAGGTTCAATAAACATGCTTAACTGGCTTAAAAACAAACAATAGACAAACAAAAACCTAAAACGCAAAACTCTTAAATACTTGGTACCAAGAAACCTAACAATATCTATATTTTTAAAAAGGACCCCTTACGCGATTAACCTAGAATTGAAAAAACATTTAAATAACTCGAGTTGGCATAGCTTTTCAGCTAGACGTTTCGAAGGGCTCGCAGCAAGACTTTTTCCAAAGAGGTGCGCCGCTGTCCCTGAGACGTATCAAGTGTACACCTCCGTCTGAACGATCTTGTCTGTCACTGAGTTAGACAGCCTCTTCCTACCCTAGGTTTCCAGCACGGCACCCGTCCCCGGCCGTGCCCACACAGCCCCTGATGTTTTCCCGAAGCGTTTAAATCCAAGCCTTCAGAGCCTTCTAGCAATCGGGAAGGAATTTCCTCCGCCTCCACTGCATTTCCCTGCCTCCGGCGACTTAGAAAACACAACCGAACCAGTGACTACCAGTGGTTTAAAAAAAAGAAAAAGAAGCAAAACCACACCAAAAACCAGTACTTCCTAAAAAAACAAAAAAAAAGGGGGGGGGTCTGCAGAAGAGCCAACTTCTCCAAAGCCAAGTAGACTGGCTTTTCCAGAAGTGCCCCCATTTCTCCCCCACCCTCGGGCCCCAGAAACCTTCGCCCCGACGCCAGCGTCGTCTTCCGATTAAATCAGATTGGAAACCACAATACAATCCGAACGTCAGAACTTATCGTTCACTTACCATATCCGCCGGGACATGACTGGACATCTTGCCTTTTGAGAGTGGGCCAGAGGTTTACGCAGAAAACAAAACAAAAACAAGAGCAGAAGTGCTGGAGCTACGGAAAAAAATAAAAAACCTTCACAATTCTGATCGGTTCGTGCTGAGCTTTTTCCAAAAAAGAAAAAGAAAAAAAAAAAGTAGAAGTTACGTGGGAGCACAAGAGCTTCTGGGGCGAGAGGCGCGAGGGGAGTCGATCGTCAGCAGCAATAGCAGCTCCAGGACCCGCCGCGCCAGGTGGACAGAAACGAGTGACACACGGACATGGAGCGGGGTGGGAGGGGGTTAAATGCGCCGTCCTCTTTCCCCAGCCCAGGCGGTGATTCACACGCGCTCGCGACTCAGGTCCTCATTAAAGCCCCGGCGACGAAGTGTACAGATAACTATGTGGCTACACATCGAGCGCGGAGCTGAGAGCGGCCGGGGCCGCCGAGAAGCTCAGCGCGCGCCGCGGGGCCGCACTGCCGGGCAGCGCGCAGCCGCGCTCAAGGGCATCGACCTCGCCGGCCGCCGAGCCGAGCCGAACCGGGCCGAGCCGAACCGAGCGCAGCGCCGGGGGGCTCAGGCCGCGGGCGCCTCAGCGCAGCCGCGCGGGTCGGGCCGCATCGCGTCCGTGCTCCGGCCGCCTCCGCCTCGCTGCGTTCCCCGGCGTCTTCCGGGGGCTCCTCCCTTAGTTTGGGAACAGCTCCCCCTCAGAGCCCTGACTCTCCGCCTCCTCCTCCACTTCTCAATCCCACACGCCCCGGCCGCCTCCTGTCATCGCCTCAGCCCAACATGGCGGCCGTGGCGGCTGCTGGTGCCTGAGAACCGACTTAGGAATAGCGCCCCCCTTTCCCCCCGCCCCCGTCTGCGCTTGTTCCCTTCGTCACAACGGAGCCCTCTCGGAGCATCATGGGAAATGTAGTTCGTGCAAGTGAGGGGAAGGGGCCGCCGGGGCGTCTTTGCCCGCATCGATGCCACACCCCCGCATAGCAACAGTTGCTAGGAAAGGATAGCTCCCTTGACTTGCTTCAGTTTAGAGGCTCTTGCCCTGGAGTCAGTCCCTACCTGTGTCCAGAAACGCCATGATCACGCGGATTGTTGGAGGACAACAACTTGCACGAAGAAATTACCTCGCGCGCTGTGTAGTCACGTTAAAATAGGACACAGCGTGGTGCAGAAGCATGCGTTTTAATTATTGCAAGTTCTCCACATCCTGCAATCTCAAACCATTTTATTGAGTAAGTTAATCTTTAGGTCTCCTCAACATGACAGTTTGAAGATCAGAAACAATCATTGATTTCCAATAAGGCCACGGAAGTTCAACAGAAACAAGGCTCTCATGAAGCAGAGGCAATGTTTGAACACAGGTTTCCTGAAGTCCCAGGGCCATAAAGCTACAATCTGCTTAATTGAAATGACCAGAAACTGTATTAGGCACAATAGTGATATCATGCCAAATCTGTAGTAGAGACTATATGTAGATTCATCCACTTCCCAGCCTAGCCCCTGTTTGACCCGGTGATGTAATTGTATTATAAATTTCAAACAGCATAATATAATGCTGGTGCTAGAAGATTTAGGTGAAAAAAAAAACACATCTACCACGGATATAAGATACAGAAACCAAAGGTATTCAGTTGATCCTTATTCATATCTCAGGCCTTTTGGAAGGGCAGTCTCCACACGATACTACTACACCCACCACAGCTGTGACCTCACCTATAAAACAGCCTTACCTACCTTCCAGGGCTAAAGTCTGGGTGCTGTTAAGGATGATTTCATGCAAGGCACATAAATCATTTTGTAAATAACAGCACATCTTTTGACGTGAACTGTTGCTACTCAGTTGGCACACAAATGTACCAAGCACTCTGAGGCCACTGAGAGTTCAGACGTGAGCTATGCAGTCCCTATCCCCAGGGAGCTCGTTGTCTAGGAGCCTGTGTCATTCCCCATAACCATCTCCCCAGTCACGATTTTCCTCATTAGATGGGAACTCACAGGACTCTAAGAGGACCTACCTGTCTCTCCAGTGGCAGCCTGGCTGAAGAAATTCCATGCACTCCTGGGGACCTATATCACAAACTCAACTCCCTAAGAATCCAAATGTAGGGGAAAACAGAGGCCCAGGCTCACCCCAATGTGGCTTCCCTATTTCAGCATCTGTGGATTCCATGGTTTTCCACAGACGCTCTTAATGTAGTTTCTCTGTGTGTGTTTAATAAGCACAGGACCCTTCCCCACCATCAACCCTCCTGGAAATCCAGACAAATGAAACTCTTCAATTCACCAGCAGATTCTGAAGGAGTACTGGATTGCCATTTAAAGATGTACACCATGTTAATTCCCCATGCCACGCCTACTTTCGCCTCCCCCCGTGGGGGGGGGGGCCCCCCCCCGGCTCTGCCAGACCTGAGTGCTACTGAAAGGCAAGAAGCAGAAGTTGGCAGAACAAAGGAAAGCTGTCCACCAGCCCCATTGCCAGGGATGTAATGACCCCTACTTTGAGCCCAAGATTCAGTATGTTCTCACCGGATGCTGTCTGCCACTGCCCCTTCTGGATAAGGCCGCATCTTTTAAAAGTAAGCTTACTGAATCTGGTTGCATTTCTAATTGCTCAAATAAGACAGGCTGCAATATTATTATCAACAAAACTCATTGTAACCCTCCCCTGACATGATTCAGGCTTGAAGGAGCATTCGAGAACACAAACGGATTTCCCCACTGTGCTGTGCTGCCTTTACTGTGGAGAGTGAAGCGAGGGGTTGCGGAGAGGAGCCTGCCAGTCCACAGCAGGGAAGGGTAACATCATCCGTCCCTCGGATCTCTTGTCAGCATTACCCGGGAGGCAGTGGATGACACAGCAATTTTGATATGGAAAAACTAACCTCACAAGAAATCAAAGAGCTCTGCCACGAAGGAGATTTTGCCGACCCTCTCTGCCTCTGACACTCTTCTGCTTTTCAGGGGAGTTTCATCTAAATCTCTAAGGGCCCTTCTAAGAACGAGTGATGACATCGTCAAAAATAGCTACTTAAGTTCGTAGAGATGAAAGGGGTTTTCTGAGGCAGAGTCATGGGGCCATTGGGATGAAGAAAATATTAGAGAATTAGGTTATGGCAGTGGTCACGGCTGGGTATGGTGAGGGACGGCTGGGTATGGTGAGGGACGGCTGGGTATGGTGAGGGA